TTCTTTTTGCTTGTATTTATATGATCTATAGCTATCTATCTCTGTTTTCATCTCTTCTTTAACACTTCCAAATGGAAATAATTAATAAGTGGATTTTTAACACTTCAATCTGTTATCTTGTTTTTAAATAGAATTTAGTTCTTTTGCAATTATTATTAAACTGAAATATTTCTGCTTTTTTCTATCCATTAATTAATTTTTTATAGCTTATCTTATTGATTCTTTTTTTGTTTTGTTTTGGCTTGGAAAAGTTTCATTTCCTTCCTACCCTCCTGTTAATTCGGAAATTCTGATCTATGTTTCCATAATGTTGGTGTTTCACTTCCCATACCTGGTAGTTATGATCAAACCTGTATTTCTCTAGTACTATTTCAAAATTGATCAATAAATATGTTTCCTAAAACATTTCACATGCTCACACCCCCACCCCTTCACCTAGATGAAAATTTTAGAAATTGCTATTTTACTTCCCCACTTTTCTATTGACCCTCACACTCAACTCCTCTTAAGTATATCTTCTATAGGTAGACTCCTTCCTGAACACTTACACCATGTATTTCTTATCTCATTAGTATCATAACCATACTATCAGCAACAAGAGTTGCTGCTGAGCCTAGTTCTCAAATTGTTTGTTAAATAAGTTATCAGTTAAGATATAACTATATTTACTACAAGATTAATTGTTCACAAAAAGCACTGTACAAATACAGGTTTGATCATCTACCCAGTATTGAGATATCTTTTCTAATATAATTATTACTTAATTACTAATATAATTAATTTTCTAGTATAATTATTACTTAATTAAAATATGAGTATTTTCCTCAGCTAGGATCCACAGGGAATATATGAGCCCTGGAGTGTCTATAATTGTCTTTCTTTTGCCCCAAAAGATGAATGACATTTTGTCTGGGAATAGGATTCTTGGCTCTTAGTTGCAGTTTCTCTCTTCACTTTGTAGATATTGTTCCACTGTTTTCTAGTTTCATTGTAACAAATGACAATTCTAATGCTAGCTGTATTTGCTTTCCTCTTTAAAAATAGCCTCTTCCTTCAGTATGAGGAATGTATTCTACTTTTCTCCCCTTACCCATGGAGTTCGGGAATTTTGCCAAGATATGTGTACATGTGTATCTTTTTTTTATTACTCCTGTCTGGATGTCAATAAGATAGACACTTGCCAAGCCTGATAAAGAAAAAAGAGAAAACAGAATACACATTTATACATTATAAATAAAAAAGAAAACATAACCACAGAAACAGAATTAACTCAAAGAGTTATCACAGGATCTTATATGATTTCTTACGCCCTTAAATGGAATGTATTTTCATCATCTCTGGCTATTTAGCATCTGTGAGTTTGGGCACGTTTGATAAGACTTGCGAAATCATAACTTCTATTTAATATAAGCTCTATTCTGAACAAAAGTGTCATAGGTAGACAATGGGAAACCTATCCACTCCTATAGCCAATCTAACATGAGCAACTTCCCTTACCAGAAATGACATTAAATCTTCCTGGATTCTAATTCATAGAGATAGAAAGTAGAATAAAGGTTTCCAGGGGTGGAGGGGAGGGGAAAATGAAGGCTTATTGTGTGATAGGTATAGAGTTTCTGTTTGGAATGATTAAAAAGTTTTGGAAATGGATAGTGGTGGTAGTTGCACAACATTGTGAATGCACTTAATCCACTAAATTTAAAATAGTTAATTTTATGTATTATTTTACCATAGATAAATTTTTTCCTAAATTTTAAAGCACAAGTAAAAATATAAAGAGAAGAATTCCTTATAATGTGCACATTACATATATATAATATGGAAGGAGATTCACATTATAAAAACCTGCCCACAAAAATCAAAAGTGGGTATTTTTGTAACTAGAGTTGTCAAATTCATAGAGACAGAAAGCAGAGTGGCAATTGCCAGAGTCTGGAGTTATTGTTTAATGGATAACGAGTTTCAGTGGGGGAAGATAAAAAGTCTTCTGGAGATGAATGATGGTGATGGTTGCACAACAATGTCAATGTACTTAATGCCATTAAACTGAACACTTAAAAAATGAAAAAAAAGCGATAAATTTTATGTTATGTATATTTTACCATGATTAAAATAATTTTTAAGTGGGTATTTTTGGTTCTAGTTTAGTCCCTAAAACCAACATGATGAGGTCTCTGGTGACTCAGGGTGTGAAGAAATAGATCCAGTATGTGTTGTGCTCACAGGAGAACAGATGCAACATTCAACTCTAAAAGGAAAACACAAGAAACCCTGGCAAATCTGTATAGGATTTTAAGAATAAGGAATCCAAAAATGGTATAGTGTGTCCAATTTGCTTTTTGATTCATTTGAAGTATGGTGTTGGAGGAGAGCTCTATGGATAATCTGGACCATCAGAAAGATGAGCAAATGGGTTCTAGAGCAAAGTGAGCCCAAAAACATTGCTGGAGGCAAAAATGATAAAACTGAAGTTGTCTTACTTTGAGCATATCATGAGAAAGTCCAGGCTCTTTGGAAAAGACAATAATGCTGGGAAAACAGAAGGCAGAAGGAAAAGAGGAAGACCAAATATGAGATGGGTTGACTCCATAAAAGAAGCCATAGGCATGAGTTTACAGGAGCTGACCAGGGCTGTTGAAGACAGGACATTGTGGACATCACTCATTCATAAAGTTGCCAGAAGCTAGAGCTGACTCAACGGCATGCATCACAAAGCACTGCTGTATAAGTTCCCATGACTTGGGATAGGACCGCTAGAAATATGGACTCATAAGAGAGGAAATAATGGTGCTCAATACAAATGTGCTTTTCAGATATGATTTGTCCCCAGCAGACAGAATTCTGTTTAGTGCCTGGGAGTGTGCAGAATCCACAGTGGCCTCTAGGGGGCAAGAGTCCCTGTGTCATACAGGCTCTTCAGGAGCAGCAACAAGGAGTAACTTAATGCCCTGAAGAGCACCATGGACACCATTTTGTACCCACAGGTTTCAGAGACCTGCAGAAACCCCAAATACCTGTAAGTGGGAAAAGCACTGGACATAGGTTAGGGTGGACTGACCACGCTGTATTCTCTCAAGAGTAGGAGGAGAACCCAAATTCTCAGCTCATGTGATAGGCCTGATTTCTTCCTCTACTGGTGTTATTTATCTCAATACCTACACCACTCCTACCAACATGCCAGGGGTAAATTCTGTTTTCAGAGCACTCATGGAGCTCCATTAACTTTGTACTGATTAGACAAACAAGTCTCTTCAGGACAGACACAAGCTAGCAGGCACAGGACTGGGCAAGCAGACTGATGTTCTGAGTGAGTTAGAAAAAGATCCCCTCTCCCTGAGCAGCCCTCTGTGATGGTCCTGAGTTCTTAACACCAAGAGCTGTGTTGAGAGGCACTTCGCATACATTGTCTAATAATCCTCACAGGACAGGTGCTAATTATTGTCTATGCTTTTCTGATGAGGTATTTGAAGGTGAGTATAAGTAACTCACTCATGCTAGCAGGCATCCCTGCCCATGCCAAAGGGAAGGGCAATGCCCTTGGTTGCCCTAAACTTCTCACATTCATTGTGCACCCAAGTTGCAGCTATACAAAAGCCCCCCAAATGAGCTCTCTGCTTCTACTTCCCCCTCCTTCCAGTCTACTCTCACAGCAGCAAGTGATTTTTTAAGCTATTATTATACTAATGTACAAAGTACATAGGTAGACTTCAAATAATAATAAAAAGGATATCCAACTAGGTTAAGGAATGGAGCTTTATCAATGTCTCTGATGTTCCCTAACATGCCCCTCCCTGCCCCCTAAGAGGTAACCACCATTCTGACTTCTGTGCTAATCTTTACAACACATATGTGTAAAATTAAACCATGTTATTTAAGTCATATTTTTTTGAGCTCTCCATAAATGAAATAATACTGAATGCATTCTTATGAGACTATTCATTTGTAATTCATTCATGTTAATATAGTTAGAGTTGATGGCTGCATAGTATTCCATAGTAGGGAATTCTACAATGTCCATTTCTGTT